CTGCTTAGACATCTAAGCTGAAGAAACTAAGGTGGTTGATGCCTTCAGTCTGTATCTCTCGCCCACATCCGTGGTCCCTTCTAGATATTATGGTCAGTAAATAAGCACAGAGCAGCTGAGCCAGTATTGAGGATGTCTCTGACCATAGGAGGGTCCTCTACAACCTCACCACCGTCCACTTCTACCTCCTGCTTTTCGTTAGTGTAATCTTCCGGCTTCGCCGTAACCAAAACTCCAAGCCCGGTCCTAAAATTCGAATTAGTCACAGTCACATGGCCATTATAGGTGACCTGCCTACCCCACTTTACGCTAAGGTGTTAATCTGCGCGGGCCAGTCCATCCAGTGGCCGGAGTCAGTCGGGTTGCAGTCATAATAAAGGCCGCTCTCTCTGGTTGACTTATAAGCATCAACACCCTTACCAACATATTAACCAATTGCGACGCCCAGTTCACGTATGTTCTCTCCGATGCTTCCTGAAATGCATCCAGAGCGCAAAAATCGTCTATCGCACGGCTAACAACGCAGTGGTCAGACAGTTCTACCATTGCCTCAGTGAGACACAAGAAAGCCCCGCAACACAGGAGACCCGGAGAGCTGTACATATTACTTTCAGTTAGTGCTTTTGGTCACTTAATCGGTTCCGAGGTCGGACCTCTACTGTTAATCCAATGAACAAGTTTTCTGGATCACTATCCATGTACTGAGTAAGGTGATTTTATTAAATAAGTGTCCACAAACTTTGCGTACGGACTTCAAAATTCATGCGGACATCCTTCCAGATTCAACAGTCCTTATACTCTCAAGCTGAATATGTATCCTCTTCTGTACTTAGATATTCCTTCGTGTAATCGAGTACAAAAGTAACTGCAAACGCCACCCGACGGCTTTACCTGATGTCATCCCAAGAAACGAATACGTTGCTTGAAATGAACGTTTTTCACATTATATTATTGGGTATCTGAAATGGCTTAACACTCAAAGCGGAATACTTCAGACTGTCTTTCTCGCTTTTTAGTACGACGATGTTCGATTGGGATGCATGCTTTACGGTTTTAAAAAAGATGGTTCAGTTCTCTTCTACCCTAAATAGCTAAGAAATCTCAAAAATACCCGACTCGCAGCCCTACATTATTAACAGACTTCCGTCCTCGGAGTTTTCCAGGTTGACCAAAGTGAACCCATGTCTACCTCGTCTATCTATCTAAGTGGTTATTCTGTTCACTTAACGCACGCTACAATGGCAGCACGCCCAGCTCATAACCCATGTTATCTACGATTGAGAAAACTTAACAGATTTTTCCTGTAAAAGTCACGTTGGTGATGAAATGGCTAATAAGAACATAATAATCGCATTTGAAGTTTTTTGACACTACCAATGGATCTGAAGAAGCCATGCTACAGACGGTTGCTAACTAAAAAACGCTGCTAGATCAGGAGAGAGTACCAACAATTCATTCTTAGGAGACCCTAACTATAAAATCGGTGGAAATACGTATCAAAAGGATAAGGGCGTTTCTTGGTCAAGTTTATTAATGAAGCCACAAGTCTGCAGCCCTTTTAATCCGTCCTTTAGCTGCTATTAATATGCGAGATGCAACTTCACCCATTTCCAGACTCATAGCTGAGGCAGTCCTGCAACGGTTGGAGACGCTGGTTTTCCGAGACCGAAATTCTGGGTTCGGTTGTTCGTGTCTTTCAGGCTCGGCGTAAACTAAAGACAACAAAACTTAGTCTAGACTGAGGTTAGTTTGATAGCGCACCTTTATGAAAATGAGTGCGAGTGCCACTGCTACAAATTCGTTCTGGGTTTTGTCTCACATACTCTTTTTTACGTGAGTATCTGCATCGCTTGGATCGACCAATTTGCATGACCCTCAAGTACGTTCAGACCACTGAGCAGAAACATTCTGATGAACTGCCAGCCAACGGTGTGTTTTCAACCAATAAAATCTGCCCGTACAACGCAGTGATTCTGAATTGGAAACGCGCTACGGTAGTATGTGACACAAAAGAAGTCTAGCGGTCTTGACTGGGCTTAAAACGTTGTCATCGAGCCGTTTCTAATTAGGGGTAAACCAGCCTTTTGTTGGACCACACCAGTTAGTACCCAAACCTGTCAAGTTATTAAAACAATAGAGATTTGGTGAGTGAATTCGATCAGAGAAATAGGGTTGCCACACGCTATATGACCAGTAAAAGGGGGTGGAAATATTGTATATATAACGAGTAGCTATAATCTCGCCAGCAAGTAACCGGTTTATAAGACGCTGGTAAAATTGATAACAATTTTCCAGACGACAGATGGACCATGGTAGGAAAGTTATGCATCGCTTTGCAAAACAGTACCCCTTACCTAGAACCACTCTAGTCATGCGCTAAGACATACGATCAACGGTATGGGGTTGTTTGAAGCTTCAGAACCGACGTTAGTTTTTAAAAAGTGCCAACAAGTTCGGCGGCCAATAACCACACCGCAACCAACTATAAGGTTTCATGACAAAATTCACAGTTCCAATCCAACACACGTGTAACTGACATATAATGTC